TCATGTCGATCCGAATGAATCATCCTTTCCGCGGAGGTCAATCTTTGCCTAGCTAAAAATCCGTGATTTGAGATTTTATCTACGAGTTTAATATTCTATTAAATAGAAATAATTCATAATCATCCGGTTAGGATCAATCTAAACCAGCCCATTATGTATATATGTAGCTATTGGTCAAAAAGCATCTTCTGTGGCTCAGGTAGTAACTACTTTACAGGAAAGGGGGGCGATGGAATACACTATTGTGGTAGCCGAAACGGCGGATTTCCCTTCTACATTACAATACCTTGCTCCTTAAGTATCCCAACTTTAAATGCCTATAATAGACATTGGAATTACCTTTGAACTACCATTTAGTTTTGGATTGCTTGTCGTTACCTAAAAAGATGCTTGGAGGGATTATTGCCTTTTGTTTAGTTTTTCATGTAAAGAATACTCTCCTCTTGAGAAAAAGATTGCTTGTTGCTAATGGCAATTTATTTCACCAATGCTTCCTAATTTGAAAGTAGGTTTTCCTAGATAAAGGGCATAAACATTTTTTTTTTCGGACCATGAATGATGTAACAACGCAAAAGAGCATCACTTATAGGCTCCTATGTATCCATGGACAGATCTAGGTTGGGGCTGGCTTGGACTACATCCCACGCTCGTCCTAGTTCAAATCCACTTACTCTCTTTAATTTTTTTTTCAAATTGAGCCCATGTCGATTTAATTAGCAGCCCGTGTCCAAAATAAAATAGTAGCCCATCTATTTAAACCCAAAGCAAAGTGTAAAGACCCAAAAGAAAAAAAAATCAATTTATTGGCCCAAATCCCCAATCCCAAAACATAATTTATATCTAATCTATCTCCCTCTACAAAATACAGACTATAGCCCCTGTCCATAAATCAAAATCCCATTTTCCTCAATCTCCCAGTCCAATTCGTAAATCGAAATCCCAATTCTAATCGTCTTCTCTTCTTCCTCTATTTTCCATTGTTCCAAGGTGATATAGTGAAGATAGGTTATGACTTATAAATTTTATTTTATTTTTAAGTTTTTCTCTTTTGATGTTTTTTCTTTTACATTATTTTTAGTTTTGAATTTTCATTGATTTGCCACCATTTGTTCTTGTACAAGCATATAACAAAACAACAGCAAAAAAGCATACTTCATTTTTACTTTTTTTTGGTTTTCAAATTTCAATACTGTTGCTGCTACCAGTTAGTCCCTATTTCAGCCCATTGTCCCAAAAATTTATTTTTCTCACTCTTATTTTTAATCATGCAATCTTTTATAAAATAATATTATACATAAATCTAAATAGAAAACTTTTACATCTTCTTCAACCAAATATTCTCCAAAAAAAATAATATTCCAAAAATTATAATTGCCACATAATGGAAGCCAAACGGGAGCTAAATTTTCAATTTTCTGAATACAATTTTATATTTTCTAGTTGCAAGTTGATTTTGCGATAATAATGTCTACGCTACTTGGCTAAACCTTCTTTTTTGAATCTCGGAAGTGGAATAGATTTTTGAAGGTGCAGACGTGCCAGAGAAGATTGAATATACTTCCTTAGTAAGTGTCCTCATCTGACTACTTGTTGCCTGTTGGAAAAATATCGATTTTGAGTGTTGTTGCCTTGTTGGTAAACTAGTTAATTATTGTTGTTGAATTGTTGCCTTGTCAGGTTAATAAGTCTTTGGTGTTGTCTTGTTGGTTTAATGAGTTTTTGGTGTTGCCTTGTCGGTTTAATGAATTATTGTTGTTGCCTTGTCAACATAATGAATTCTTTTTGTTGCATTGTCGGCTTAATGAATTATTTTTGGGTTATAGTAGAGTAATGTATCATTGATTGATTTTTTATTATTATTTTTATTTTTTGTATGCAAGTTGAAGAAATTGCAAATGGAAGGTCAATATCATCTCAAGAAGAATAAGAACTTGTTATCATTCTTAATGAGATTTGTTTTTACTACAACACTAATTACAAAATGAGAGATGATTAGATATAATTTTTTCAGCAAGTGAAAAAGTTTTGCTCAAAACATAATGTTTAGATACCCTACCTATAAAGTTTGTTTAAGGTTGGTCCTTGTCGTTCTCGTGATCAAACTACAATGGAACATCATTATCAATTTGATGTTTTTCAATGAAGCAACAGATTTCTTACTAATGGAATTAAATACAAGATTTTTTATGATACATCGGTTGAACTTCCTTTACTCGATGCAACTTTGGATTCTAGAGATTCATTTGAATCATTTAACAGATATTTGTACACTAACAGAGAAATTCTATCCCAAAGATTTTTCAAAACAAGATATTCGTACTTTGGAATATGAGTTGCGACATTATGAGCTAGATATAAAGAGTGCACCTCGATTTCAGGTATCTACATTTGTTGAATTATACAGGCAATTGATTGAGAGTAGAAGATTGAAGACTTATATTATAGTTACTAGATTGATTCGTCTTATATTGACTTTATCTGTTTCTATTAATGGAATGGAGGATGGCTTTCTTGCTGATTGTATAACACTCTTCATGTGAAAACGTATCTTCGTAATAGAATGGAGGATTTCTTGCCGATTGTATCACACTCTTCATCAAACGAGAACTTGCTAAGAGATAGATATAAATTCTACCGTAGATGAATTTTGTATTTTGGAACTTCGTTTGGAACAACTTAATATTACATGAATTTGACTTTAATGTTATATATGAATTTATTATATTGATTTTTAAATCTTAGTCCCTGCCCCCGAAATTTCGGGATACGTCCCTGTACGTATCCAATTCCAAAATTTTAGCACGCAAGATTTGAATTTCTAGAAAATATTTTGAAATTGAATAATTACAATTGAGTTTTCTGACCAAATCGTGTTCTTTTGAGTGAACAACCTTTCAAGTGTTTTTCTTTGACATATTTACATCACGAACATGCTCTATGTATTCTTTTGCTGATCAATGTTTGCAAAGCAAACAAAACTTTGTATCTTCTAGAATTACAACATCATCACTAGAGATAAGATCGAACAAATCCTACCCTTGTAGATAAGCTTCCATGCATAACTTCCGGTAACGATAATTGTTACCAACAAGCTTGCCTACGCATAAGAGGCATTGCTTCCATCATTCATGTTCGCTGAGTAAGAAAATCAAACACTTAGTAGGCAACCAAGATCTAATACCATATAAAAAGTTCGACAGATATAAAGAAGTATGAAAAGAACATAGATGATTTGCTGTAACTGTATTTTATTACTTGATGAAGAACTGAATTTACATTTCAATTACAAGATTATAAATAATAAAATTTTCTTAAAATATCTCAGCCAACACTCGCGTCTCCATGGTTTAATTTTCTTAAATATAACCACTAACTCCTAAGTAAGAGAGACAAAGTCAACTTTCTAAATAGATGGAAGACTTGCAACAAAAAAGACTTATTCATTAAAGACCAACGACATTAGTAAGTTTCACTAATTTGCAACAGTTCCTTCGGGATAAGAGTAGGAATGGGTTCTTTGATCTCCATTTAGGTTATGTCATTGCTCCACCTCGACGCTACTACTACATAGCCACGATTTGAAATTTCAAATCTTGTTTTTTATTTCTTTGAATTTTTTTCATGTTTGGTGAAGGTGGTGATGGTGTCTTTTCGTGGTGGTTCTATGGTAGTGGTGGGATAGGGTGGCGTTGAAGATGGTGAGGCCAACGATGGCAGATTTTGTGGTGGTTTTGATGGTGATGAGATTGTTTGATAATGTGTATTGGTGGTAATAGAGATGATAGTAATGGTGGTTGCTAGTAGTGGTGGAAACATGTGACAATGCTAGTGGAATGTGCACAGCAAAGTGTGTTATGCTCGTATTAGACATGTAACGTGATATGTTACGTTTTACACGTAATGTTACGCTTGTGTCCCACATTCGTTACAAGTTTTATGAAAAAAAATAATATTATATTACACGTGTTATATTTTTGTAACTTAACTAAAATTGTTATGTCATATATTTGGAAATAGTTATTTTAGTTATAGTTTTAAAATTATTCCAATATCTATATATATATATATATTGATTTTGATAACAATCTTTTGCGAATTAACGAATTTAATTGTTCATTCTTGACATTATTAAAAATTAGAGGGTATCAATTGCGTTCTTTAATAGTTTCTTGCAGCATCAAGTATGGAGCACTTCACTATTAGTCCTTAATGATGATGGAGTTGCTAATAGGGTCGAGTTCGATAGGCTTGATAGTTTTTCTTTCTTTCTTTCTTTTTCTTTTATATATATATATATATATATATATATATATATATTTTAATGGTCAGTGAAATTAAGGTAGGCGAATCCCATAACTTTTTGTTCAATTATAAATGAGTTTTCTCGTTCACATATATTCTCTATTTTTTGTACATTTTAGTATTCCCACGTATCTGTCTTACCATCATATTTCTGAGTAAATTGCACATAAAAGGTCACAGGAATTTCATCATAGATGTAACTGAGTCACTAAAATTTAATTTAGTGAAATCACACCTCTATACTTTAATTTACAAGCAATTAGATCACTCTGTTTGAATTACGTCAATGAGACTTTTGACATATCCGTTAGTTACAATGTACCAATTTACCGGACAATTTTCTACGTCAACTCATCTAAAATTACGTCAATCGGTGAAATTTTTGCCTTCGACCAACTATATTGATATTCATTTGGGTTTTGCCCCAAGGTAACCTATTTATTAAAATTTAATATTGTCAATTTTTTTACATAAAAAAAAAAAAAGGAAAATTCTATTTGTACATAATTATTGCACATAATGGTGTCCATAATGTGATGTGACAATCATCCGATTGTTGATGTGCAAGTGTGAGATTTGAATTAAAAATTGGATCTAGCGTCAAGTATAATTATGGACACCATTATATAGACAATTATGTACATGTAACACTTCCCAAAAAACAATACATAAACGTGACCTATACTTGAAGAAACGTGTTAAAATATAATGGTTATAACTATTCTGTAAAATTACATTACCACCAAGTTTACAAAATTCATAATTTTTATTCATCATCAAAATCATATATGATACACCATTCCCACCTCTAAAGTAGATGCTGGAGGCACATTTAGTGCATATATGTTTGCTCTACAGTTTCTTCTCAAAAAATCGTATCCATAATTTATAACTATCTTCTTGATTAGACTTGATCCTTGCTTTGCTCTCACATATGAGTGTCCCATTATGTAGGCTACCCCAGCTTCCCTAGCTCTCATCAGTTCTCGCAACTCATACCGGACATTTTGGTCGATCTCCGGACTCTCGGGAATTACAAACCGCACCCTTTTCCGCGGCCTGATTACGGGTGGAGACCGTGTTTCTCTGAGCTCCGAAGTACTAGCCAATTCGGTATTTGCCACATCATCATCGTCTTCACGGACTTGGATTCTATCTAGATGAGTAGTAGGCGTTCCCACGACCATCATTTCCTCGCGTCGCTTCGCAGCATCTTCATCCGCACTATCCAAGTCTGCTCTTCCTGTTCGTATATACTCAACTATACTGCATACGAGATCATTCTCAAACTGCTCATTATCCACATGAGCATCACGATAACCATATCGAACAATGCATCTGTATATACGATACTCCTTCGGACCAATACGTCCCACAAGGTACCGTTCTTCGTTTTTCACATGAGGGATTGAAACTGATTTGACACAGAGAAAGATTAGAACCTGGTGGAAGGCCGGAATATTGGTGACGAAGTGGGAGAAGATTGCTGGAATTCCAGATACGAGCTCTGTGTGAATGAGGCCAATGCCACCGACCCGTACAATGCCCAAACTGGGACCCAGGCTAAGTAGCCGGTCAATAGAAACCCCATTTTGGACGTCAGACTCGTACTGCCTCAACATACCATAGTGCCAAACACACATCACTAACATAAAGATGAATGAAAGGGCAATAGGTACCCATGCTCCTTCCAAAAACTTGATTAGAGAAGCAGAAAAATATAGCGCTTCAAATGTGCCAAAGAATACGACGAAGCAAATTGCAAGGACAACACTCTGGTGCCAGCATAGGACAATAACTAGAGACATTAAGCAGGTCGTGACCAACATGACGGTAATAACTGCCAAACCTGAATAACAAAAAAGAATAAACTTCGGCTTAGTAAATGTCATTATAATGCGAAAATAGTGATTACTTGAGAACTACATTAGGCTCTTCAGTTAGCATGGACTTTGCATTAAGAATTCTGAACATCCAGAGATCTGATGTTTCACAAAATGCTCAAACATGGAGAGGCAACATGGTTTGAGCTTTTTAAAGCTTTTTTTTTTCCTTATTCACGCTTGGATAAGCTAACAAAGTTTAATTATAAGTAAATAAGTTAGTTTTGAAATAAATAACTTTTTTATTGGTCAAAGTTGAAAACAAGTAGCAAGAGTTACTTTCATAATAACTTCTTTTACTTAAAAGTAGGTTATCGAAACATTTTATCTCTTGCTCATTTTTAGTTCAAAAGCTTACTTTATTAAAAGTTTTTGCTTACTTTTCATGTAAGTACTTTCAATTTTTTAAGCTTAGCCAAACATGCCATACTAATATTGAGTATTTTTTGTATATGAATGTTTTATTTTATATTAGCAATATTTTTTCTTTCTTTCTTTCTTTCTTTTATTTTCAGGGTAGTGGGGTAGCCTTACCTGAGGCATTTCCCATGCTTTTGGTGTCTCTGAAACCAATAGTGACGGCCAAACATAAAAGCATCAAAGTCCAATTGATCTCCGGTATATAAATTTGGCCATGGATTTTTGACGACGTGTGTACAATTTTGACTCTTGGAAAGCACCCCAGAGCAGAGCATTGTTTTATAATTGAAAAAGTTCCGGTAATAATGGCTTGGCTTCCAACTACTGCAGCAAGTATGGCAATCACCAGAACCGGCCATCTTAGTTTATCTGTCATAAGCAAATATTTCTTCTGTTGAGTGTTAATTGGCCAATAATTCACATTCTTCCTCTCTTGAAAACAACAATTGAAAACACGTACCAGGTACAGAAACATAAAATCCAATACGAAAATCATTATCAACAACATGATGCTGAGAAAGGTAAGCAGCCTGCCCCATATATGCAAGAACCAAAGATGGATAGACGATAGATGTGAAGGCTATCTGCAAAAGAAAAGTACATAAAATGAAGGTTCAGTTTCGAGAGATATTAAGAAATGAACAATTGTTATATGGACTGATCCCTTGATTTATGTGGATAAATTATAAGTCAAGAGGTCTCTTAGTACCAGATAGGATTAACAGCTTGACTTAAGCAAAAATTTCATAAAGATTACACGAGGGAATAGTTTCCCCAAGCTTGTAAACTGCTGGAGGAAGATGACCCTTGTGCAATAATTGAAATTACGGCAGTTGTTGGACTACTGAAAATCGCTCAAATTAACATGAATCTGACTGCTGATATAAATGGATAAAATATCATTTCTGTACACAATAAAACGCAAAACTCAGGTACTACCTTAAATTGTTTATGAATTTTTACGTAAGAACCTCTGAAAAAAATAAAAATAGTGTAAAACACAAAAAGCTCCTAAAATGGACCACAACAAGCTATTGAATGTTCACCAAGATTGTGCTTCACAGCAAGAATCTTGAACATACAGGTATGGCTTCCATATAGCTGCTAGATAAGAAATGCGACTATAAGCTAACAAGAGGCCATAGAGATAGAGGATAAATTAAGGGAATGCCAGCTTAGGTTGTCAGGACATATTTTGCATATATCTAAAGAGGTGCACGTTTATTAGAGTGACGTGATTTTAGTAAAAAAATGTTAAAAGAGAGAGGGGTAGACCAAAACTAACATGGTTTTTAATGGTTGCAAGAATAAAACTGCTTTGGATCTTCCAGTAGATCTGGCTTATGAATCGAACGGATTGTGGAAAAATGATTCATTTAGCTGATCCCAAATTTATTGTGAACAAGACTTAATTTGTGGTAGCTAAATATAAATTATAATGTCTTTTCATGACCCTTGGAAAAACTTCAACAATGAAGAATTATATGTTAACATTGAAGCAGAACAGCATCAAAAGTGGTCATACCCATCTATATCTTGTGTAGGAGAGAAATTAGCTAGATTAAACTAAAAAATAACTTTCTAATGGACTAAAAACTAGATCAAAATTCAATTGACTTTCAATACACATTATCTTGTAGAACTTGGGCTTTCGTGTGACTGGCTCCAGAGGATATGCCTAATTGAGGAAATAACTAAAACCAACTAGAAATTACGCGGGAAGGAAATTCAAAATGGTGATATATGTAGTTCATAACACAGGAAGTAATCTACTACATGAATTTTACTTTAAGATTCTTAACAACTAGGAAAAGCGTCCTCGATAAGTTATTATACATGAAAGTACCGTACCTTTATTGATAATTGGGAAAAGTGTCCTAGATCAGCAAACATTGCTTCCGAACCTGAAGGAATGAAAAAAATAAATTAATAACTCTTCAGAGCAAAGAAAAAGAAAGAAGAACACCGTACTAGCGTTAATTATATACACTTGCCTGTTACACACAACAGGATCCCACCCAGTGACATCCAACCTCCTTTTTGTGTCTTTTTCAGAAATTTGTACACGTAGTACGGAGATAGAGCTTGATACACGTGAGGGTTCCAGTGGAAAATATTATATACACCAATAGCACTTAAGCACAAAAGCCACGTTATGACGACAGGTGCGAATAAGAATCCGACCCTGTGGGTGCCATAATGTTGAAGGGCAAACAAGGCAATCAATATGATACAAGCAAACGGGACTTCTATATCTGCGAGATTTTCATTTTAAGAAAGTTTAGAGTTCTGCTGTGTACTATAAGCCCAAATAAAATTCCATGATCAGAAATTATATATCAGGTCTTCCAGATAGAGGGGAGTAAAAAAGCTTGAGTCCACCGAAATATTTTATTCTGTGAGATGGCACCAAACTTCTTCAGTTAAAATATGTATTATGTAGTGCATAATAATGAAACATAGTAAAGATGTCGATAATCATATGATTTAAAAAATAAAAATAAATAAAAAAGCAAGCTTCATCATATATGCTATAATGAAAGTTGAAACTCATTCTTGAAGTGGAAGCTTCTGTATCAACAAAAGTTTACAACAAGAATCATAGCACTCTGCATTCTCATAATTAAATTAATCCCATCAAGAGATAACTGAAACCGTTGAACTACTACCATAAAGAGAAATATATACCGAAAATTCAAAATATGATAGTTATATTTAACAAATCCAATATGTTTGCCCTCTCTCTCTCTTTCCCCATCCCTCCATCTTCCCAACCCACTCTTCTATTTATATCCAGTCACGTACATGTGCTAGTGCAAACAAAATCATCAGGTGAAGCAATTTTTTAAAGCTCACATCACCCATCTAAATGAAGGATCATCTAACCAATTAAAACTAAATATGCTATAGATTTCTAGGCAATAGTTCTTCAATAACTTGAACGAGAATCCTACATAAAAATTGCAGCTACATCTATGGATGTTAATGCCAGGTTAAGCCTCAGCAGCCAAAGTATAGCAACAGGTCTGTATTTAGCGCCCATTTGGCCTCCATTATTTGAAATTTTCATGGTTGGAATAGTGGGTTTTTTTTTTTTTTTTTTTTTTTTTTTTTAAGAATGTGTGATTAAAAAAAGAAGAAAAAGTTTTGAGATTACATATAATATTATTTTATTGAAGAATGTATGATCGATAAGAAGAGAGAGAAATATAAGTTTTAATTTTAATGGGGGCCAAACAAGGCCTTAATAGAATCATTTGCCTATATTTGCTAAAGAGAAATCAACAGTTCATATATTTCGAACAAGCATCCATAATACTTCTCTAAATGTTTTCAGATCATATTAGAGCATATTATACAGACAGCCAGGTGTTATTCTGCTCACATGGCTTTGATCATTCTCTCGTTCTACATATATCTTCACACATGGCTATGAAATTATCTTCAATATGACACCAATAAAGAAATTTCCCTCTTTGCTAATAGTGCATGACCTCATTGTATCAGAATGGCCTAAAGACAACGATTTGCACACGATTTCTTTAAGATTTCTACTTTTTTTTTTTTAATCCATAAAGGCCATACTCTCACACGAATCCAGGCAAGGATCCCATCTCAGTTACCAGAAGCTCTGGGGAAGTGAGAATAGGAGAGAAGAAACCTAAAGCAGAACAAAATGACTGACTGGGCCATGAAAGAAAGGGCAAAAAGAGGTGAGAAAGCTTTGCCGGCCATGGCTTACCCAAAAATCACTTGATGCAACCAGAACTTTAAAACCTTGGACTTCTTTCTTTCTAAACCTTATGATGGCGAGCCTTCTGAAGCATATAATAGTTTGGCAAAATGCAACAACATAAAGCTTGCACAAACTAGAACTAGGATCTTGAAACAAGACTAAATTAGGGATTTTTCCTCTCCCAAAAAAAAATTACTAAAAAAAAATTACTGAATAATCTTAGGCATGGAGCCACAGCCATGAACATTATATTAAACATCCAAATCATTCAATCTTTTAATTTCATTTATACGTCCCCTTATTTCCTGTGCAGTATAAGCTATGCCACAGCCGAAATATTGCACTGCATGATTCAAGATACAAATGTCAAATGCATGATAACAAAATAGAACAGTTACAATGCAACAGTAAGGCAGCTAATAGTTAATTCTGCATAATTAATTAATCTTTTTGAAGAAAGTAATTTTCTCCCTGTTTCCCTTGCAATTACTTCAGTATCAGCAATTTTTTTCTGGGAACAGGCAAAGGTGACTGAGATGAACATTTCTCTAGAAAACAACGAAACAGTACAAGATCAAGAAACTTACATTTGTGATGCTCTTTAGACATTGCTAGTTCAATACCAGAAACTGCAGAAAAAACTGCAGAAAACACAGGGATGATTTAAACATAACTTAACACACTTCAAAATGTCGAAATTTATGTAAGAACAAAAGACATGAACCAAGTACCCGAAAGTGCGGGACTAAGTATGCCATCACCAATGACCATACAAGCACCAGTTAGAGCCAATATAAGCAAACACTTTTGCAGAACTCTCTGTTTTTCCAAAGTAGACTTTAGCCTTCCACTAAAAGTAGACGGCGCAGGACTAATAATGTCCTTGTACATTGACAAATCTTCATCTGCAACCTGGCTACTGGGCAAAGAATTCACTCTGGCATGTCTACACAGAAGTGAATAAAGTGCAAATGTGCCTCCTTCACCATTATCATCAGCCTTTAGCACAATGAACACATACTTTAGAAGAGGAAGTAATGTTAATGTCCAAAATACAAAGGACAAGACCCCAAAGATTTCTTCATTAGTCTCGGAATGTTCAATATCTTCAGCAAAAGTACTCTTGAATACATATAATGGTGATGTACTCAAATCGCCATATACAACACCCAAACTCTGATAAGCTAATGTCAAAACTGTTCTCAAAGATTCTTTCTGCAATCCCAAAAAACGAAATTTATCAAATAAAAAGCCCAGAAACATGCTCAAATCCATCAATGTTTTCTTGCAGAACTCACCTTGACTTGATGCTGATGAATCCCAGTTTCAAGATCCATGGTGGGTGCTCTTAAAACTCTAAGAAAATCATTTCAACTGCAAATTCAAGAACTTCAACTATAACCAATTTTCCAAATTACCCTCCCAGTAAAGAATTTGCAAGGAAACACAAACTGACACACATTGACAGACTCCAATTATATATACACAGATATATAATAATTTATTTGGACGGTATCCATATATTACAGACACAGAAGTTCATCAACCTCCAGAGAAAGAAAAAATGAAAAACCACAAAACGGTGCTGTAAAAGGCCAGATAAAGAAAGATAAGAATTTGGAATCAGAGCATATTGATTCGAATAATCTGCTTGTGAAAGTTTAAGATAGTATTATTTTCACAATATTTTTAGGACAGTGAGATGTGGTTTGTCATTTATGACTAGGTTAGGTTACTTGTAAGTTTATTCATTAAATAGTCTTTTCGTGATTGTACGTTTGCTGAAGTTGGTTTATTTCTTGGATGATTATCAGTGAAAATGAACAAAAAGAAGATTAAGAGCATGTTTGAGAGTGATTTTAAGAATTGATTTTTTGATCGTTAGGAAAAAGTGAGATTTATTTGTAAGAGAAGAAGTCAAATATGAAGGTTAAAATAGTGAAATAACGGTCAAAAAATTAATTTTTTTGGGCAAAAAATCACTCCCAAAAAAACTGTAAGATATAAATCTCTACGCTACTGACTGATTAAGGATTAGCATTTCGATTTAACAATTTGAAATTCAGCCCCTATTTAATGAATGACCATTATTTGAAAAAAAAAATATTTTAAATAACAATTTTTAGGAGAATGTGCGATTAAAAAGTAGAATATTGTTATTTAGTTTTTACTAAAAATAGGGAAAATATTTTAGTTTTTATGTAGAGTATTTTATTGTATAAATGATTGTTAAAAATAAGTATGTAAAAAAAAATTCAGATAGGGGCTAGGATAATTTTGATATCTTAACAAAGGTTTCTGGAATTTATAGAAAAATAATTATCTGATAATTGGCATACTCTTAACATTTGCCTTTATTGTGAAAAATTCTCTTATCTTTTTATTTTGACGGAATATCCCTTTGATGACTTTTTTGGTGTGGAAGTCCTCCATACTTTCTAATTCGGTTAGTTAGAAGTTAATTCCACCTAAAAAGACCAAAATTAAAAACAAATAATTGCAACTGGAGATTTCAAACTTTTTTATTTTTTGTAAATTATACCCGAATATTTTATTTGTCCCAACCATAGTTCCAAATCTTTAAAAATTTTCTCCTTCCCCTACCCCAAAACCTTTAAAACAGCTTGTGGCATAGAGGCAATAGATATAGGGTGATGGTATACATATATCAAGGCGTCCATATCGGTGTCCACCTCTTTTTACATAGAAGGGAATCCATTTCGGATAAATTTCCCTTTACTCTGAAGAAATGAAGGTGTAAGGATAAATTCTAAAGAGAGGACAAATTACAAACCATATCTGAATTTAATTATTTGCGTATGACTTCGGTCATTGCTAATGAGTTTGAATTAGCGTTGAAATTGGTCACAACTGATAAGCTGCAAATACTCAATTTTGGTGATTAATTACTGCAAGAAGCACGAGACAAACAAAGCGAAAACTATTTTAGATTGCATGGTGGAAAATGGGTTCCAACCCGATGTTGCCACATTCACTATATTGATCAATTCATTCTGTCAAAATGGAAGATTGCAAGATGCATATGAGTTGTTTAATATAAGTGTTTAGCTTCTTTGCTAGGTTTTGAAACCAAGCTTCGGAAACAAGTTCATTGTAATTTTTTATTTTTTATTATTATTATTTTTTTTTGGGAGTCTTTTGAATAATCAAATGACACATGTCATCTAGTTCCAAATCCTGGATTTTAACTTTGTTCGTGTAGCATGATTCTTAATATAATGTCTAAAATAAGATGTGAAGCAGCAATTATTACATATAGTTGCTTGTTGAAGAGTTATGCTATGTTGGGAACTGCAGGAAGCCTACTACTAAGATTGAGTTTTAAAGGTTTGTTACTAATAAAAGGTTTGCGTATAATCTGTAATGAAAAATGAAAAGTTTGGGATCACAGATGTACTCAAACCCATTTTTCTTTTGACCCTTTTAGGTGAATTGAACGCCTAAACTGATAGAATTGGAAGGTACGAAGTCTTCCACACAAAAAAGGTCATCTTGGAGGTATTTCGTCAAAATGTAAGGATGAAGGGATATTCTACAAGAGATGTAAAGGTTAAGGAGGTTTTGCGTCAATAACAAAAAAAATTAAGTAGTAAAGTAATTATCTAAAAATGATCTTCTTCATTTTTATTTTCTTTTATTTTATATTTTTATGTCAAGCTAAATTTTAGTAGCTATTATAATATGTTTATTTTTCCGATAGATTAGATTCTCTCTATTAATTTTTAAATGTACACCATACACGAGGTTTTGTTCAGAATAAGTCCTTGTTTGAGCCACATTATTTTGCTTAGAATGAATTTTTGAATAGTGTATTGGTAGGAAATGTGTGGTTAAAAAATAAAGAAAAAATTTGGATTTACATGTAATATCATTTTATTAAAGAATGTGTGATTGAAATTATGTCAAATCACTGTTTAAATTTTTTTTTTTTTTAAATGTGGCCCAAATGTGCCCTAACTAACATAAATTCAAATTTTGTATCAACTTCGATATTTTGTTGCACGGTTCCATCTAAAATATAAAGTTGACTAAATACATAAGTTGGTGGACAAATGTGGTGAGAATTGATCTCATATCCTTCATTGGTCTGAATAAAAATTTCCCATCGTGGATGTGCGGAGAGAATCGTAAGTATGGTTCTCTAAATGTATAACTGTTTCAGAGAACCATAAGTAAGATTCTCTTATCATGTTAGTAGTGAAAATTCTTTTTATCCTGTTCACTGTAGACAAGAGATTAGATCTGCAAATATTTTTTTTTCAAATCAAAATATTTATTTTTAATTTTTTCCATATTAGTGTTTTTTCCGGTTTTCTTGAATCTAGATGGTAATCGCACAATTCTTCGATAAGTGCGGTTACACTCTATAACAACTTAAAATCATTAGTTGAGCAAATTTAATAGCAATAGCTTTAGGAGGAGCGAGTTTACAAGCAACCATTGAGCTCTCCTCGTCCTTTGTCCCCGTTGAAAATTTCTTAAAAGATTTAGATTAAAATTTAGCTCCTGTTTGGTGGGAATTAACATCAAATTTTTAGTAATTTTTTATAAAAATTAATGAAATGTGTGATTGAAAAGTTGTAGAATCCGTAAAATATGGTTGAAATTAATTGTTAACTTTGATTACGGGAGTGTTCTTAACTAAGATTCTAATGAATTTTAAAGGATCATAAATTCTAATGAATTTTGTGAATTTGAATATATTCTTATAAATTTCATAAAAATCTCATCAAGTATGGTTAAATTTCAAAAGATTTGCTTATATGTATTTCTAAGCTTGAAATTCATCCAAATCTTTTAAAATTCTTCTATTAATGAAATCTTTATAAATCACTAATTATTAATTATACCTAAATTTTAAAGAATTTTATTAAAATCTCAATTGAGAACACCTAATTTTAATGAATTTCATTAAAATAAAATAAAATCGCAATTGAGAATGACTTAAAATTCATCACAATGTCAATTGAGAATACCTCCCTTAAATTAAAATTAAAATTTTAATTGGTACCAAACAACCTGATTTTTTGCGCTCTTTCCCCATTTAAGGTATAAATCTCTGTTATTGATTATATATCAGGATTCTGATTTGACAATCTGAAATTCGAATTCCTTTATCTCTTGGTGTTGAACTCTGTTCATGACTTATCAACTTTATTAATTATTGTTTATATTTCTCACTCACGCATTAACCTTTTGGATTGCTTAATAATAATAATAATAATAATAATAATAATAATAATAATAATAATAATAATAATAATAATAATAATAATAGAATTGAATTACAATTATTAACAATTTTTTAGGAGAACAACGAATTTCTCCAAAATTGAATGAATTTATTCGTATTAAATTGCGCTCATTGTTTTTATTAAGATACATGATTTTTTAATACATAGGTAACATGAGATTTTAATTCAAAGTCTTTATTGGTTTCTATAACATGTTGACATATTTCGTCGACAAACTTCTATAAGTAGACTGTTATATTTTCGTTGTAAATTCTAATCGTTCTTCATATTGTTTTGATTAGCTTCCTCAAAGTATTGATTTTCTTGTAAGTATGCAAGTTTATTAATCAATAACAATTTCTCATATTTATTTTGAAGTATCTAATGAACGACGACCTCAAATTTATTGGAATAGACTTGAATTAATTATGATCTGCCGATCAATTATTTTTATTGTAATTGTTAGAATTTACTTTAATTAATATGTAATTGCTCATTTATTTTGAAGATACGATCTTCCCATATAGCTATCTAGGTTAAATATTTCTTTTTTATTTTCACAATACAACGTGAATTCAAACGTATTTAAACATCGAACTTGATAGGAGAATAAAAATACGTTTTTATGTGTTTTATAGTATATTTAACTTTTAATCATGTTTAATGGATTGCATGATTGATATTGATAAAATCCCACGTCACTCATGACTCGAACATTAACATAACAATAAATATTTAAGAATTGATGAGTTCTCAAAAAAGTTAAAATAAGTAATTCAATCATATAAAACTCAACAATTAATCAAATTTCAAGATTACTTTTCTTAAACGAATTTACAAACTTATCGATAAAGTAAATAAAATATAGTTCAACATCAAGCCACCATGCTTTACCATATGTTGGCTTTTCTGAATTTAAAGGAATATTTGAATTTGTCATTGTTTTGACCTACCTAGCAACGTGTGATGGGCTGTCACCTGCCGTATATGAAAATGAAATCTCTGGTGTAGACATGGAGACGCCGGTCACATTTGCAGATATTTCTTCCACTTGTACAAGAAATTGACTAGTTCCAAGAGCCGTGGCTTATGTCTTGATGTTCATAATTTGTTGTTTACTTAACGATCTTTCGACTCATTTTGATGTTTCGAAATATTACTTTCCTTACTATATAGAAAGATATTAAAATGTGAAAAAAATAAAATATTTCAACCTCTTTTCATCTGTCAAGATTAGATGTATTGATGTGTTAAAAATATACTGAAAAGAGAGCAAATTTGAGATATCAGTTCTCATCATTTCAACTTAGTTATTAAATTTTTTTGATGGAACTAATCAGCACACCCTTATGCCCACTTCGAGTTGATTAATGAACCTTATTGCGAGTGAATTGATCGAAGCTAATTCGAAATGATCAAAACATGTCTAAATCATGGTTAATAAATTAAA